ATTCCACCTTCTCCCAGAGGAGTCCCTCAGATTGAAGTGACCTTTGACATTGATGCCAATGGCATTCTAAATGTGTCTGCGGTGGACAAAAGCACTGGAAAAGAGAACAAGATCACCATCACCAATGACAAAGGTAGGTAACCATATTAAACACTGATAAAGCACAAAAGCTGAAGGAATACTGCGCTTGAATATAGAGAATAAACTATTCCATGCAAGGTAAATAGCTTTGTAATGTGTTCCTCCATAGGGCGGTTGAGCAAGGAGGACATTGAGCAGATGGTGCAGGAGGCTGAGCAGTTCAAGGCTGAGGACGAGATACAGAGAGAAAAGGTCACAGCCAAGAACTCACTCGAGTCTCTGACCTTCAACATGAAGAGCACCGTGGAGGACGAGAAGCTCCAAGACAAGATCAGCCCTGAGGACAAAAAGACCATCGTAGAAAAGTGCAACGAAGTCATTGCCTGGCTCGACAGAAATCAGGTATATACTGTTGACTGAACCATGATTCATAAGTTCCTCTTTGGCTGGCATTGTGAAAGCAGTGGTCCGTGCACTTTGTGAAGCAATCACTTCCTTTCCAGACAATTCATGCAGACAACCATGTACAAACCTAAAAAGTAATATCTGACAACAAATGTTTTGTTCCCTCTGTTACATAGACGGCAGAGAAGGATGAGTACGATCATCAGCAGAAGGAACTAGAAAAGGTGTGCAACCCCATCATCTCCAAGCTATACCAGGATGGGATGCCAGGTGGGATGCCAGGTGGGATGCCAGGTGGGATGCCAGGTGGGATGCCTGGAGGAATGCCTGGAGGTTTCTCTGGTGGAGCTGGAGGCGGCTCCCCCTCTGGCCCTACCATCGAGGAGGTCGACTAAAAACAAGGCAGACAGTGTCTTCATCTCAGATCCCAACACAAATACACATCTAATAAACTGAAGATCATGAGATTGTTTTGATTAACATTATGGATCAATTAAAATACTCAGTCACATAAGAAATAATTCAAGTCTGTTTGTTGTCTTCATTTATTCTCTCTCAAATTATGATTTACACGAGGTAGACAAAGACGTGGTGTTGAAGCATTTAATCAATAAAGATCACCAATGGGATTCTGATTTGCATAATCTACTGTGTGGTTCTTTTTTATTATTTACTATTTTAATCACATTACATATCTGAATAAACAAGAAGAAGAAGAAGAAGAAGAAGAAAGAAGAAGAAGAAGAAGAAGAAGAAGAAGAAGAAGAAGAAGAAGAAGAAGAAGAAGAAGAAGAAGAAGAAGAAGAAGAAGAAGAAGAAGAAGAAGAAGAAGAAGAAGAAGAAGAAGAAGAAGAAGAAGAAGAAGAAGAAGAAGAAGAAGAAGAAGAAGAAGAAGAAGAAGAAGAAGAAGAAGAAGAAGAAGAAGATCATATGCACAAGCACAAACATATCAATACATTATCAGAGAGGTGTCAGAGTGAAGTGGCTACCGGTGTTCTTTGCCTTGCTCTACCAATGAGGTCAACTGGCCCCTCTCCAGCTACAGAATATGAATTAGTGCATAACATAGTTTTGCAAGGGAAGTCTCGAGATGCTGATGCTTAAGATAAAACTGGTTCCTGTTCACAGACCACTAAGGTTGTGATTAATATATTTTTTCCTGTGAGTTAACATATTTTACAGGAAATAACAACTTTGTAAGATCCGATAAGAAAGGTGTTGCTGTAGTTGTCAAGAAGGATGGAAACAATATCTGGTATATTGTGTCTGCTGATGAATAAGGTGTGAGTTGTGCAAGCAAGGACATATTAGCAATTAGACAGCTTAATATATTGAATGTGGTGCAAATGTATCTTAATAATGAATTAAAAAACACAAAGACAGTAAAATGGAAAGAATATTTTATTTTTCCACAGTAATACCAAGGGGTTGTGTTGCTTCTAACCAATGAAATGATTTAGCAACAATGTGTTTGCAAAGCCATGACCTTTGTGCACAAGAACAGGCCAAACAGGAACATAGGAATAAGTATATGATCAGGTGTTCTCTTCCCATACTTATCACCAAAGACGTGTGTCTGGGTGGGTGGGTGGGTGTGTGTGTGTGTGTGTGTGTGTGTGTGTGTGTGTGTGTGTGTGTGTGTGTATGTGTGTGTGTGTGTGTGTGTGTGTGTGTGTGTGTGTGTGTGTGTGTGTGTGTGTGTGTGTGTGTGTGTGTTGTGTGTGTGTGTGTGTGTGTGTGTGTGTGTGTGTGTGTGTGTGTGTGTGTACCTACAGTATAGGTCTCAGGGTCATGTGTGGGGGATACAAACATATAAAAGGCAGTGTTCCCCAGTTCTGACATTCAGGAAAAGTGAGACGTGACCATGTTCTTCCTTGTCAGTTGTTTTGCTCTTGTGGTCTCTGCACTGGGTAAGTGTCTGGTGGTTTACCAGCAGATGCATTATCTGTAGAAAACCTTTCTGTGACTGTGTGCTAGAACACTTCTTGGTATATACATTCACAACATTGGAACAAACATTTCCATTTTTGATTAGAGCTGTGTATTTGCAACAATCTGGCATTAAATATCAAGATATAATTGTGATGCAATATACTGCGATGCTGAGCAGCCACATTGTAATTTTCAAAAATCTTATTTTAGGGAAATACACCACTATATGCATACAATCGTTTAAAATAGTTACTACTACACAATCAGAACAGTGGAATCTGCATTTGCATTTATTGCAGTCTCTAAAATCATAGCACTACATTGAGGATACTGAATCTATGCAGATAAAATAAAAATATTTACTGAGTTATTTCAATGCAACTTATACATTTAAAGTTAATTCAAGCTATTTTTGTGAATTGATCACGAAATATACTATTGCATTACTAAGTAGCATCACGTACAAGAAATAACTGGATTTTTGTACCCCTTTTTTTCGTTCGTGTGATTTGGCCTCAGGGTGTGGAGTACCTTCTATCAGGCCCCAAGTGAGAGGTAACGACAAGATTGTAAATGGACAGAACGCTGTGTCTGGATCCTGGCCCTGGCAGGTCTCCCTTCAGGTAAACCGAATAATACAAAGTTAATCTGTAATTCAGAAAATTACAATATTGTTAATATGTATGTTATAACTGTAGGACGGTAGGGGATTCCACTTCTGTGGAGGATCTCTGATCAGCCAGAACTGGGTTGTCACTGCTGCTCACTGCCGCGTGTCGTAAGTCATTTTTGCCATCTCCCACATCTAAATGAGAAAAGTCCCAACATGTTCCCCTTTGTGATCACTCCCTCTGTATGTTTGAATTTTTTCCAGCTCTAGGAACCACCGCGTGATTTTGGGAGAACATGATCGTCAGTCCAACGCTGAGCAAATTCAGGTCAAGACAATTTCCAGGGTAAGCAACACCAAATATTCTCTTTATTTCCAAACATATATAGTATCTCAGTGGATTTCCTGGAGAAACACTGGCATTCATGGCTCATGATTTGTGCTCACCTCTCCATCCAGGCCATCACTCACCCCTACTACAATGCCCAGAACTTCAACAATGACATCACCCTTCTGAAGCTGTCCTCCCCAGTTCAGATGACATCCCGTGTGACTCCTGTGTGCCTGGCCTCCTCCAGCACCAGCATCCCCACTGGAACCTCATGTGTCACCACCGGTTGGGGCAAGACCGGCCAAACCTGTGAGTGAGCCCACCTTCTAAGTATTGCACAGGATGAAGCATACCTCCTTGAGAACGATGCAAACATATTTTAGGACAGCTAGCCTCATTACCTTTATTCTACTTCGTTCTCAGCAAGCCCCCGCTACCTCCAGCAGACTTCCCTGCCTATGCTCAGCCCGGCTCAGTGCAAGCAGTACTGGGGTTCTAACAGGATCACTGATGCTATGATCTGTGCCGGTGCTTCTGGAGTCTCTTCCTGTCAGGTAACAACCGTGCCTGAAATACAGATTTCTGGGAAAAATAAACAATTCTTAAAAACTTAAAAATTGGTCAGATTTAAACCAGTTGTAATATTGATATGTAATATGTTTCATACAAATGTGTTGAATTATCAATAGTTAAACATTAGTTAACCATGTAGAAATGTGTGAATCATAATGTGTTGAAACAAATGATTAAAGATAATGATGGTAATGAGTAAATAGAAGTAAATATTTGCACATAATATCCAATTTTCCAAATCCATGAAGCATTTACTCTCTGATGTCATTTTGTAACTAATGTCCTGTCATGTTGATGTGAATGTTCTTAATGCATGTTTCCCTATTTGCCATTTTAAAATAAGCCCTCTTCCTGTGTGAAAACTGTGCAGAGCAGAACGTCCTGTTAATGCACCACATAGCTGGAACAGGAGCTTCATACAAGGTTTAATTCAAATGATGTGACCCCATGCATGTTTTTAAAAAGAAACAAATCTAATTTCAGGGTGACTCTGGTGGCCCTCTGGTCTGTCAGAACGGTGGAGTGTGGTCCCTTGTGGGTATTGTGTCCTGGGGCACCTCCAACTGCAACGTGCGCACCCCTGCAGTGTACGCCCGCGTATCTTACCTGCGCAGCTGGATCGACCAGACTGTCGCTTCCAACTAATGTGCAAATAACACACTCAGAACACTTGCTCCTCACTGTGATCAACAAGTAATTATATACAGCATTAATAATAGCTGTATCGTAAATGTTACTTTTCAATTGGCTTTGAATGATGCATTTGTGAAAACTCGTTAATAAAATATAACTTGACTACAGTGTTGGTTTTCATGTTTTACAACAAATGTTAAGACATTACTAGAGAGATGCCCATTTAGCTCCAGCTATTTAAAGATCAATCATAATTATATATGAACAATACTTTGAGATTCAGATAACTGTTGATCATGCATTATGTTCTAAGGAGTTCTTGTTATTTTGTCCACTCCCTGTACATGACTTAATGCCTTGTCACAAAGCCTTGGCAGCAGCAGAAGTACTGTTTCATTGGCAGCTGCATGAACTGAGAAGGAGGAGTAATAGGGGGGAGAATAAGTAGTGTCAGAGCCAGATAAATATCAACTTACAAATAAAAGACAGACCTTCGTTGCATCAGAATAATGGAGACTGGTAAGAAACTTTAAACAAAACAGTTATTGCAATGCTTTTAAATAGCACTAACAGAAAGGTCTAACATGGTTTTTGCCAGATTCATTTGAAATGTATGTGCAGAAACTTTAGTTTGAGTTAATAAGTTATTTTCTAAACACAAGAGTGATTGGGTAAAATGAGTGGAAAAGTCAACATGCAATCTAATACAAAGTATTTTGTGACTACTTAAACCAACTTAGATGTTGTATGTGGTCACACGAGAGGCCAATAATGTCAGTAATTGCACTTATTTTTTGTTGTTCATTAGATGACACCAAGTCCTCACTAGATGACACCTACTACTCATTAGATGACACCTACTACTCATTAGATTACACCAACTTCACTGTGGATGAACAAGAAGATGGTAATTGGGTTGGCAGGGCCTTACAAACAACTTCGCTGGTCATCTACTGCTTGATATTTGCATTTGGGACTATTGGCAACAGTCTAGTAATCTACGTGACAGGCTGCAGGATGAAGAGAACGGTCAACTCAGTATGGTTTCTCAACTTGGCCCTGGCTGACTTCCTCTTTTCAACCTTTCTGATTTTCACAATCATTTCTATCTCTCAGGGGAACCACTGGATGTTTGGACTAGTATTATGCAAGCTGAAAACCTTTGTGATTGTAGTCAACATGTTTGCCAGCATCTTTCTTCTGACAGCCATAAGTGTGGATCGTTGCTTCTCAATCTGGTTCGTGGTGTGGGCACAAAACAAGCGTACCGTTGGCAAAGCCCGGATCATATGCGCTGTCATCTGGATTACTGCTGGGGTCTGCAGCGCTCCGTATGCACATTTTCGAGAGGTTTGGCCTCATGGGGAGAAGATAATGTGTTATGCTATATCCAATACACGACAACAGATTCTTGACATATTTCGATTTGTTATGGGCTTCCTGATCCCATTCCTGGTAATATGTGTCTCTTATGTGGCCATAGTTGTTCGTGCTGGGCACCTGAAAAAGCCAAGAAAACAGAGATGTCGCCGGGTAATGTTCTCTGTCGTTCTTGCATTCTTCATCTGCTGGTTGCCCTTCCATGTTTTTATTTTTGTACAGTCTTATAACCCAAATCTCGATATCATCATTGTTCAGATTGTTGGTCCTCTGGTTTTGAGTCTGTGTTTTATGAACAGCTGCCTGAATCCCATTCTCTATGTTTTCATGTGTCATGAATTCCAGCAGAAGCTCAAGCGATCCGTGTGCTTTGCACTAGAAAGTGCACTGGCTGAGGACCACTTGTCATTTACGTCCTCTCGCTCCCTGACATCCTACCTTTCACGGATTTCTCGTAAATCTGACTCTACTGCACCCTAACAGGTGTCTACACTTATCTCTGACACCCGTTATTTTGTTGCACCTGTGACAAGTTCCACCTTTTTTGTTAACTATCAAATCTATTTTTGATGAAATCACAAAGTCCTCAAGATCAATAATTGTGTAGGGTGTGCTGTGGCCTTGCAATGTAAATATGAATGTCTGTGTATAAGAATTAATTATTTTGTACAATGAAATTATACCCATAAATTCATCAGATATGGAAATGCTTAAAATTACATGATAATGTGCACAGTAATGTGTTTTTTTTACTTTTAAGTGTTGTAAGCAATACAATTTCGAGCTTATTTACAAATGTTGTTTTGACATGCCTCTATAGCTGCATAATACTGTCACACAAAGCTGAGCTTCAATAACTGCGCTATACGCATTTTTGTACAGTGAATAAAAACATATTTTTGATGAGCTGTTCTCTTCCTTCTTCAGTGTTTTTTATCTTACAGGAAACCACAATGGTATGCTTGACTTCTTGCATTTGCAAAAGTACTTTGCGAATCAGATCCTCTAGATTACTCTATGGCACACCACAAATCAGAAATATTAAGAAAAGACAACTATGGGAGTGCACATAGTACTGTGTAAGCCTTTCTTAGTTTGGGAATTAACAAATCTTGATATACCACTATGTTTGATTGTCTAAAGTGAATTAGAAGACAACCCTAGAAATAGAAAGTACTAATAATTAAGGTTGTTTTATAATTATATAAATTGTGCCTCCTAATGACACTTGTAATTCAAAGTTTAATTTGCTGTTACTTCCACCAAATCAGCCAGTGGCGGTTCTAGACCAATTTTCAGTGATGCAAACACAGGTATGGTGAAAAAAGAGAGAACTATTCGAAGCAGAAAAAAAACAGCGTAATATACCATCTGACAAAGGCCTGTGCTATAATGCTTCAATTAACTGGCTGTTCTTTATAATATACTCAGATCAATAGGAGACAGAGATGTTAAGTTATAAATCAAGGGTTTTTATTATTATTTACAGCAGGGGTGGGGAACCTTTTTCCTTTCAATTTGTACAACATCCTCCGAGGGCCGTACAAGTGATTGAACTCAACCTCTGCTTAAAAAAACTAAAATCACAGCCCATTCATTTGGCCTTTCTTTCATGCTGTGCAAAGAAAAAGAAACCTCTTAATCCAGATATCGCGCATGCATGCATGTGCACGGTGTGGCATGACCACCAAAACAGAAAGATATGGACACGATGTGTGCAAATGTGTTTAGTTTCCTATCCATGTGAACATGATTTAAGTGGGGGGGGGGGGGCTAACCTCCTCTAGGGGGGTCCTGGGGCATGCTCCCCGGGAAGATTTTTTTTAAATATTGAAGTTAAAAGCATCAATCTGGTGCACTTTGAGAGCAACATTAGGAGATCTATGGATACATCTCAACACCCATATGAAACAGAACTGTAAGCAGATTCTTATTTTTGGATATTTTACAAATCACTCCCCTTTTAAACTCTATTCTTGTTATTTTTAACAACTTTTTTGTTACTGTCATATAGTATTTTATACCTGTTTTTCATTTAGTCTCTAATGTCTCATTAATAACTATAATGATGATATCAAGGTGTGCCTTAACCTCACTGAGCTGAGGTTATTTGAGCCTCTCAGGAGAGAGCTCTCTTCCACCTGGTTGTAGAAAAGCTCTTTAAATCCGTTAGCATAGCTAGCTAACCAGATGCTAATAACAACAGATCGCCACTGTGCTTACAACTAAAGACACAGCCACGCAAACACTGCGGCATGTGTACGGCTCCTTATGGGTACTGCAATATTTGAAGAGCTGGAGCGGCGTTCCGGTGTCAGTACCATAGTGCTCGGGCTACCAGATATGCTCGGGGTCCGTTAAGGCCCTGACACACCAAGCAGACACCAGAGAACTCGTCGAAGCCGACTGTTGCGTCGCCGTGTCCTCCTGCGTCTTGGCCATGTGTCGCACGGGAACACACCGCAAAGACTTCAGTGCATGAGTGGCAATAACTCTCCTTACCAGCAGGCGGCGGTAGTGTGTATTCGTCATTCAAAAGAGGCAACAACCGGAAGACAGAGAAGAAGAACAGACTGCATGATATAAACAAACAACAAATAGCGTGTGCGTTCCATTTCCCTCTCGTCCATCGAAAACATGTTTCGTGCGGCACTGGAGCTATCAGCCATAAGAGGGGTTAGCGATAAGAAACAATAACAATGTGCCTACATAACTGTCAGTTGCAGCCCTAGCATTAGTATTGGTTATAGTAACAGCTACAACATTAAAATACTTCTAGGCAGATTGAGGAGGATAATGGGAGAATGAACAGAGGGGCAGAAACATCCATCTGAATAATAATAATAACTTTATTTGTATCGCACCTTTCATACAGGGGATTGTAGTTCAAAGTGCTTTACATCAGTAAAAAATAAGATATAAAATCAGTGTAAAATAAGCAGCAAGAGCAAAGCATAAAGTGGGATAAAATAATGCAGATATATATAGTAATCCCAACAGGCCACCTTGTTTATGGTTTGATTCAGTTTTACATTACATTTATTTGATAACTTCAGTTAACTTTGAAGATTCCGAACACTACAAAATATAATCAAGACATATTTTATCATGTATTATAGTAGAAAGTAGAAATAGTTTGAGTAGTTTTTAGTAGAAATATCCCTTACAATAAAGGCAGTATAGTATGCCCGTGTGTCATCTCCAATAAATGGCTTCAACCCTCCTTTAAACTCAGGGTTTGATTCCCACTCCTTTCTGTACTTTTGTGAATACAGTTTAGACTGTGACATGATGACCTACGTGGATGTTTAGCTTGTCACAGAGAGGCACACACACAGTGGACGAGGTGATTAAGTGACTGAAGCTGTCTCGACGCGGGAGAGTGTGGCTGTATCCTCTCTGCTCTGACTGCAGCTGAGCTGCTGCGGGAGGCAACTGTTGCGGCTTTCACACCCTTTCTAGCTCCGAGCGGGAGCTTTTCTGGTTCAGCTCCGATTTCCCTTTACTGCTCCCGCTCTGTTCACACCGCCCAGCACCCGACTGGTGCTGCCGCTGCTGCGTCATGACGTCACCGTTTACATCGCTGATTTGCTCCCCAAACGGCGCTCACAACAACAACAACAACTGCATCGGGTCGATGATCGTGTTGCTTTTAATCACACGAAGCCAGATTAAATTAAATAACGACTTCTCCAACCTTATACTTTGCTCCAGAGTGCCGTGGTTCATTGTTTATTAATGTGTTTCTGCAGCATTTACCGACCGCTGCAGTGCTGGCTGCTCTTCCACGGGAGTTTCTTCTCCCGTTAGCTCCCGGTTAGCTCACATTGCAGCGGCCGCTCTAAAGTATTCACTGTCCAACTCACACAAGCAGCTGATACATATCCCCAGTTCCCCTGAATGTGTGTGAGTCTGAATTGACGCTGTTTGGCATCACAACGCTGTTATGAAAGTTTCTCTGGTATAAAATGGGTGATGTTAGCATAGCAACCGAAGCTAAACTGACTACTTGCTATTGCTATCCTATTGTGGCATAAACCGTTTTCTACAGGCACATTTTACCGGCGTATTTTTATTATGATTCTACTTGTGATAGTCGGACACGACAACCTGTGCAGCCCATGTATTGATTCCATCCGATAGCTGCTATAATACAAAACGTCTGCCTCTCTCCACAATGATCAATAACAGTGAACGGATGGTCAAAGTAAGGTACAAATAAACAGAATCACACGAAGCCTGGTTAGTGTTGCCTGACTTTATAAAGTGTGTTTATAAGCACTACTGCTTGTAGGACTAGGCAGGCATGACAGTCGACCCATGTTCAGGGGAGGTGGGTTTAGTTTCCTGCACGCCTCGACGAGACGTAAGCGACGCCACCTCTTAGCTCCGAAGCTCTTGCCTCTAGACCGACAATTGTTTGGAGCTGGAAGTGAACCGGATTCCGGAGCTAAGAGCCGGCGCCGCTGCGGTGTGAACAGGAAAAACCGGCGCTTTTCAGGCTCCAGCTCCGAGCCGGAGCTGAAAAAGCTCCGGCTCCGGAGGGCTGGAGGGCCGGAGGGCTGAGGGGCTCACGGCAGCTCGTTAACTGCAGAACAATACGTGAGTCTCCAAACACCAGAAAAGTCCCTAATAACACCATTACAAGTCGTTAGATCAGTCGTTAGTCGCTTTTGACAAAAATAAGTAGCCGGAGGGTTTGGAAAGCCGCCAAATTTAACGACAAAGTCGCCAAGTTGGCAACACTGGGTTGCGTTCCGATAATCCAAAAATCAGCTCCTAAATTCTAACCCTATCTCCTATTCCTTGACCTCTGAGTGAAACGTCACGAGGTTAAGGGATAGTGGATAGGAGAATTCAAAAGGATTTAGGAGAAGAGACTGCGGTGCTTAGAGAATCCGAATGCACTTTCACTATCCGACGTGTTTATGATGCGCCAGCGGACGTCATGAATGTGCGTCTGCTGCTGTGGGGAAACTATGGAAACTACAGAACTACAGTTTTCTATACAGCGGACTACAACATGAATGTATAATAAGAACGAGGGACTACTGTAAACTCATCTAGAGACTCTGCACAGTGCTCTGATGCTGTTGCTTTGCTTTATGAACGGGGACAACAGAGAAACATATTCTTCATGACCAAAGTTGGAATTGGAAATAAAAAAGGAAAGTGAAACTTATGCTCATCACCCTCTCCCTCCGGTCCACATTAATACAAATGTTCCCAATACGTATGATTGTATGAACTATTAAAAGATCTTAAAATAAATACAAATGTATTTATTATAAACGTTAGTCCTTAACATCTATCACTGTGTATATCACCATTCAAACATCTTTTAAAAGTTGAACAACCCCCACACAGCTCAGTGAAATGTTGACTATTTGATCATTTCAGTAAAAACTAACGTTCATATTTCTCTTTTTGATTATAATACTGATGAACGTTCAAAACAAAGCAATTTGGCAACTTACCACATACGTTTTAAAATGCGTAATAAGCACCGTAACTTTCATGATATAATTTCTCCCATTATCGTTTGTGTCCGTGAACGGCCGACTGTTGAGTGACGGCAAATGCTGCGGCTGCAATGCATTGTGGGGCAGCATTTCTCCTCTCCTTTCGGTTAGGGAGGTCCAGTGGTTCCTAAGCTAAAGGAGGTTATAAAGGAAGTTTGAAACCTCCTTTCCTTTCATTTGGAGAATTGGAACGGCACTTATGGCTGCCAGTGACGTACTTCCGGGTCATTTCACTCCGTTAGGAAGGTTCCTAAGCTAAATGGACTATTGGACTGCAGCCCTGGTCTGTGTGTGCATCTTAAATCGTTTGTTTACGTCCCTCACTTCCGTTTCGCTTCTGATTCGCTAGCTGAACAGCCAATCAGAGTGATTGCTTGGTCCGAC